CTAATAAGTCCCATAGAAACCAGTGGAAAAGCAGAAAAACTGATGAAAGGCCTTCCCCTACCCTACCTCCCCTTTTTCGTGTTCTTGTGAAAGACCATAACAGTTGAAAATTACAAGATCATTTCAAAGCTTTATTGTTATGTTTACTTTTCTAGTTAAAAATCCATTTGAACTGTTAAACCAGCCATATACCAACTTAGGGAAACCATAGCTAGAGCAACGGTCCAAGAGAAAGCCAAAGATTTCATGTGGACTGAGAGCTTTGCTCACTGAAATGAATCCCTGAATGTATTAGGCTCCAAGAAGTTGCTCAAGGGTCTGTAAGTTTCCCTGGTGATATAAGGACTCTGGCTTCTTTAGTAAAAGAGGAAAGGGTGAGGGGAGCATTGGGATGCCAAAAAAAAAAATGAGGCCTTTCTTCCAAAATGTGAAAAAATGATCCTCTGGGCTAGATTTCTAGTCATTTGTTTCTATGTAACACAGAAGAGGCCTGAGATCTTCATAGAGGACACAACTCAACTGTAGGAGGTTGTGATTTATAGGGTGTCAAGTAAAGTGATGAAAATTGTAAAGAAAAAGTATAATGTAGGAAGCAACAGACCTCACATAATGGAAATTAGGAAGAGATTCAATTGAATATAAGCTCCTTGAGGGAAGGACTTATTTTATATTTGTCTTTTTATCATTAGTACCTAGGGCAATTTTTTTTGGGGGGGGGTCCAGACCTGTGATTTCATCTTATAGGGAAGTCCAAGTATGGAAACTCATTTCACTCACCATCATTGGCACCTCATCTGTAACTTGCAGTCTCAGAGAGTTGCCAAGGGAATGGAGAGCTCTCTGGTCAGTGACTTTCCTATGGTCATACAGCTAGGATCTGTAAGAGGCAGGCCTTGAGCCCAGGTCTTCCTGACCTAAACATTGACACCCTGGTTCACCTTGCACCATTGGAAATGCCCATTAGAATGAATTGAAGTTAGACAGACTGAAGCCAAACAGTGAAAGTAGATTTTGAAAAAGGACAAGCAGAGTAGTGGATAGAGGGCAGGCCTCAGAATCAGGAAAACCAGGATTCAAGTCTAGCCTTTAACACAGCAGATGTGTGACTCTGGGCAAGTCATTAAACCTGCCAGTGTCATGCATAACTCTTTAATACTATTACAAGTTATAAAGAGCAGATGAAGCCATCCCTCAGTGGAGGGAGTTTCTTGTTGGTGAAATCACAGGTGTGATTAAAAGAAAAAAAAAGAAAGAAAGTGAAAAGCCTGTATCTGAATAAATGAACCAGTATAGAAAGAAAGATGTGGTTTTGCAGGTCTAAATCATCTGAAAAATTGTCTCTGTTTTCTACTTCATTCTGGGTATAGAAATAGTCTCAAAAGTATCACAAATGTCAGAGGTGAAATAGCCCTGGGACCTCAATTAGACCAACCTCCTCCTAGAGATCAGTCAATCAATAAGCATTTATGAAGTGCCTACTATGTGCCAGGCACTAGGGATATAAAGAAAAAGAATGAAACAGATGCTTAAAGTTGAGGTTCCATAACTGGTTCCTGTCAGAGATGGGTCTAGAACACAGATATTCTGCTGCCTCATGTAGCTTTCTTCTTGTTGTGTCCCATGGCCTCTCCTGTTTCCATTCTGCAGAGCCCTGGCCTGCTTGCAAGACCCCATTCTGAGAGAGCAAGTGAGCTCCTCCAGGCTCAGGGACATATTAAGCAAATATTTCTAGCTGGCAGAGCTAAGAAAAAGCAAAACAGATCACAAAAAAGCCAGAGGTATCATTGGAGTTTCAGCTCTGAAGGAAATGTTTGCTCTAGTCTGTGGGTGAGGATATTGTTTTTGTCACAAAATTCCTTCATCCCAAAAGGCAGCAATGATACAAACCCATGTCTTCCATACTAGCCGACAATGCCAGGCAGATACTAATTTGGATCTTCAATCTTACAGAGAACAAGGGAAAGTGTTCTCTTGCGGTGCCACTCACATGATGCTACTTAGCCTCTCCAGCAGGTCACAGTAACAACCACCAACCAACTCACAGGAGGTCTTTGGAAAACAGCAAGCTTGGGGAGAGGAAGTAGAGAAAGGTTCATAGGTTCCTAGTTCAAGAGCAGGAAAAAAAAACCTCAGAGGCCATCTAGCCCAACTCTTTTCTTTGACTGATGGGGAAACTGAGACACAGGAGGGACTTGCTCTGGGTCACAGAGCTGCTAAGTATCTGAAACAAGACCTTAAACCAGGTCTCCTGACTCCAAGTCCTCTGTCCTATCCAGCATACCATGGAGAAGACATGGTTACCTGCTTCAGGGTGACCACATGATAATAATAATAGTAGCTAGCATTTATATGGTGCTTTAAGGTTTGCAAAGCACCGTTATCTGTTACCTCATTTGAGCCTCACAACCCTGTGAGGTAGGAGCCCATTTTACAGATCAAGAAACTGAGGCTGAGAGGGGATGAGGTGACTCACCCAGGGTTATACAGCTTGCAAGTACCTGAGGCAAAATCTGAACTCAGGTCTTCCTGAGTCCAAATCCAGCACTCTTACCCACAGTACTACCTCACTGCCCCAGATTAGATCTATAAATGCCAGATCAAGGGAGTCATAATGAGAGCAGAATAATTGGAGCAGGGTCCTGGAGCAACAAAATTTAGAGGATGTGGAGGTTTATATTAGGCCTCACCCCACTCCTTGGATGGTGGCCTCGAAGAACCCCAGAGTCTACTCTCACCAGGGAAGTAGGTCAAGGCCTGTCCCCTCCCTTGATCAGTGTCCAGCTTTCTACCCTTATGAGGGATTTCAGGGAGTCTTGGCATGACTTGCCTACTGCAGACACCATTTCATGCTACTGGCCTCAGGTGCTGAAATTGCTAGCTGCTGCTCTGCACACCCACATTTCTCCCTGCCTCCTAACCACTGAATAAACAATAGCCTGTAATTCAGTCTCAGAGGTCAGAGAAGCCAGAGGATGAGGGAAAAAGAAACCTACTTGAAAAGGCATAATGAATGCAGTTGTTTATGGACATTTGCCTTAGATGCTGTCATTGACAGGCAACATGCACATCATTTCAATCTTCCAGAGAGGAAAGTGTCATACTTCCAAAGGTAACAGGCAGAGGTAGGATTTTTCTATGTTCTTAATCATATGTGTTCTAAGTGGGGAATGTGGGAATTACTGATTGAGAGGCAGTATGGTCTACTGTAAGCAGGGATACATAGGTTCAGATCTCACCTCTGACACTTGCCAGTTGGAGGACCCTGAGCGAGTCAGGAAACCTCTTTGAAAGTCAGTTCCTCTCTGTGTAAAATAGGGGTGATACTGATAGTACCCAGTTCCTAAGGTCCTATAAGGACATTATGGTTCAAAAAAGATGGTGTGGTAAAATGCTTTGCAAACCTTAGATCGCTAGAGAAATATCAGTTATTTTTATTTGGCAGATGATTATGAGGATAAATAGTTCACTTTTAATCATTAATAATAATTGTTGGCAATGTCAAGAGAATTCAGGAAAGGTCCCTAGTACATTGGGTAGACCCACTGTGGTGAATTTAGGGAGGATACTGGCAAGAGTCTCACAGGACTAGCAGACAGATTTGGGCCATGCCCATCTGGACTAGGGCACAGGACCATGGGGGTATCGGAGTTCATGTTTTCACGGAACTCTGAAGTTAACAAAGTGCTTTCTTCAATGTGAGGTAGGCAGTTTGTTATTATGCTAATAATGGCATTTCTCAGTAAAATATACTTTGAACCTACATGATACCAAATTAATTTCAGCTGATCAACTTATGCTTACCAAAATAAACCCAGCATGTTGGAGAGTTAAACAGTCCAAAGGAACAGTAACAATAAATCTCCATATCTCATTGGCCCCCAGAATTCCAAAGTTGGAAAGGACCCGAGAGGTTATCTACATCAACCTTTTCTTTTTACTAGATGGGTAGGGAGATGGTGGCATTGAGAGCCAGAAAGAGAAAAAAGGTTTTGTTCAAGGTCATGCAGCTAGTGTGGTTGAGTCTTCCAAATCCAGAGTCTAGGGCTTTGTCTTGCTAGCCCGTGGTGACCTCAATTTCATTAGTGCATGTTGGAAGAAAGCATACCTGGAACATACCCAGATGTCAAAACACACAATGGAAGCAATGCCATTAAACAACTGGGGAACTCTGTCATGATCTCAGCTACAAAACCCATTTAATGCAGCTCATATTCCTCAAACTTTCGGATTGGTTCTGTCCAGTCATTATCAGGATTACCAGCAACAGCTTTTCCTCTAAAAGTTGAGCTTCAAACTCTTCTATTCTTTCTATTCGAATGTCATTCAGCCCCTCAGTTAAAAATAGAGAAACTCACTAAGCCATCTCTTTCATCAGGCAAGGATTAAAACCTTTAGAGAGGAGAGACAGAGAGAGAGAGAGAGAGAGAGAGAGAGAGAGAGAGAGAGAGAGAGAGAGAGAGAGAGACAGACTGGCCCAATGCCCAGGAAAACAATATAAAAATCAATAATCTTCAACTTCCTTGATGATGCCTTCATCAAGATATTTCTGCATTTGAATCTTTTTTTTAAAATCCTAAATATTCACAATTTTCTGGAAGAGTTGTAATACTTTTAGTAAAAAGGAGCCTAAATATTTGTTTACACTGAAATCACTCATGACATTGGGAACTGGCTCCAAGTTTAATTTGTTAGCTTTTGGACAGGATATATGAAGTCACAGAACCCTGATATAATCCCAATAATATTTTATCCTTTTTATGTCTTAACTAAAACCTATAATGTAATTCTGTTTCAAGCAAGCGGCTAAGTGTTTGGTATTGGACATAAACTAGCTCAAGCACAAAATCGGCACAGGGTATAAGAGGTTTATACCACCACACTGTAACAATGCTATCCATTCCAATTGCCAGTGGACCCCATTTAACCTAATAACAACTCAGAAGGCACCATTCAGACTTTGACAGTTGCACAGTTCACTGAAAAAGACAATTTCCACATGATCTTGTTTCATTTGCCATTTATTCCAATAACTTGACAACAATTATTTGCGACTAAATCTAACAGTATTTATACAGGTATTTCCAAGCTAAAACACTGCAAGAAAAAATTCCAACAGACATGCAGTTCAATATGTTTACACAATGACATATATTTATTATAAAACCATTTGACTCTAAGCACTTTCTAGAATTGGAATACGGTAATTGCTCCACCCCCTAAGGAAACATGGCCACATCTGAGAAAGGAGAGGCTGCTGATCGAACATACCAGTTAGGACAGGAAGTGAGGAATCCGGTGCTCAATTGAGTCTAAATGGTTTGGCTACCCATAACAGTTTAGAGATGCTACTGTGTAATCACAGAATCATCCATTAGCTTAATTTGCACAAAATTGCAGCAGCCTTTTCAAGTATAAGCCCTTAGCAACCAATACACTGGTACAACAAGCAGCACTGGAAAAGCAGGTTGGATTGAATGACTATGCAGGTGGGCCCTGTTTTATGCAAACCCGATATATGAAAATCCAAACATACAAAACAGATAAATTAGGGGTGGGGGATGATTATTTCCATTATAAAATGAGTCTTTGCTTTACAAAAGGATTCACCACAAGTTTCCTCTAAATAGCAGCTCCCCTAGTGCACTTAAAATATGATTCAATTTACAAAAAAAAAAAATTGAATTTACACACAACTTTTTTTTCAGGAGCACAACCACAGCAAGAAGTGAGGTACACCTATATACAGTACTTATTTTCTCTTTACCAGAAGTTAGTGATTTTATCACCTACATCTCAAGGTAAATATTTCTCACCACTCCTATACTTTTTGTTGTTTGCAAGTTAACAGATGATATCGGAAAACAAAACCCTCTAGTCTAAGCCATTGAGATGCAAATTAAGCATTGCCTATAAAACACGGATCTGCTAGTCATTTTAAAGTATGTTTGTGACACCGTATTTACAATCACATTGCGGATTATCTTTACAGTGAAGCTTTTAAAACAGCACACAGGTACCAGTCCTCATACTTGAAGCACTAGACCCGATCCAACAGAAATGTTTGGTTTGTTTGCTGTTTGGTTTGTCTGTTAGGTCATACAGCCCAAAATAATGAAGGATGCTGGCTAAATGATGTGCAGCAGGTGGAAAAGAGATCCACAGTTTTCCCCTTACTCCATAGACTCAAGATGGAAAGCCCAACAGCTGTCCACATCCGGGGATCATCAGAGAAGTTTCAGGCATTAGAACACCCCAAAGAGCTTTTCTTAATTCTCGTTCTGATCCTCCATCCTTGGGGGGTTTGGGTAGTACATCCACAGTCTGAAGAATCCCAATCTGCCTCTGTTTTCCCTAGACCCTCCTTTGTGTGACTAAATAGAGGTTAAGTCTTTGTAGGACCAAGAAAAGGATTCAAAAAGTAACTTGCCTTATGGGCAAAGAAGGAGTGTTAGACTTGATGATACCATCTTAATAGAGGGATTTGGTGAGGCCTAAGAAAGTTGCTCCTGGTTTAGAACCCAGATGCGGTTCTTTCTCAGTGGCAGTTAAACCTAGGAAAAGCAGCTGAGATTTTTTTGTTGTTGTTAATACTAATGAGCCCCAGGGGAAGCTAGCCACTAATTAATCATCTGGAATTGGAAGGGAATGACCATGTACAATTCGCAGGGCTAGGCCTTGCAGCTCAGCTTCAGCCTGCGGCCAGGAGAGTGAAGGTTGCCCCCAAAGCCCTGGGGGTAGCCATGTTACTGTTTATTCCTCTTTCGAGCAGCATGGGGAGTCAAAGTTAAACAACCAAATCCAGCTGCAGGAGATAAAAATAAAGATCCCAGAATAAAATCATTTCAAAAAGCCCTGGTGCTGAGGAAGCAAAACCAAATGCAGTCAGTTGGAACAATAACAGAATGGAAACAAAGCTTCAGGGAAAAAAAAAAGCTCATTTCGACTTTAAAGTATGTCACAAACATACTTTAAACTAACAATAGAAACTGAACGCAACATATACTTGAAAGGCTGTATTGAAAAAATGATTTAAAGGATGCATCCCATTAGGTTGGAAGAGGAAATATTTCATCATGCTATGCTAATAATAAAGTGCAAATCTGGAAAGCGTAAGTATTCAAAATTAAGCCATCATTATTTAGTGGGATTGTGGATAAAATTGAGTTGTTCCAGGAGGTCTCTTTAGAAGAATGCATCTGAAATTGCTATTGCTTTTTTTTTCACCAAAATTAATGCTATAAAAGGTGTACTGAATTTATGTGGTGGGGGTGGGTGGGGGTGGGAAGCACTAAAAGTAGATTTGGACAAATCACCTCAGTTCTCACACATAGCTTAATGCTCAATAAAAAGTTAAGGAAAAGCAGATCTGATCATTCCCCTTAGCAAAAACTTTCTACCACGCCTTTTTTTTTTTTTGTCCTAGCTACCACTACATTCTGGCCAGCAGCCAGAAGTGACCCCCCTGAAGCTGTTCCATGTCAGCACCTCACACCCAAAGTGGAGGAAGTGATTTCCAGGCAATCTCTCTGTGTTCATACTTTCTCTTCTCTTCCCTGAAAGGAGACCCTTTGGAAGACCAACTCTCATAGAGTTAGTTTCTTATGGACCTCCAGTGCTAACCCTGCTGTAATGGCCATGAATAGAAATTATGATTTTGAAACAAAGGATGGCCAGGAGAGCTGGTCACGGTGGATGGTATTCAGACACTGCATTGTTCATTAAAAGCGATTCACTGCATGTTCTGAGCTCTGTCCACACACGACTCTTTTCAGTTCTGAAAAAGGCAAATGTTTTCCACTAGTAAAATATCGATGAAAAGAATACGGACTTAAGTCATTTATAATTGAAATTCGATTGCTTGGGAAGTCTTCGGAGTGGCAGACAATATACTATTAGTCATATTAAAGCTTTAAAAATAAGTCATCAGAGTCCACTTCAATCTCTGCATGATAATAAAGGATTATTATGTGCAGTAACCTATTTATGAAAAGGAAACAGGGAGCTTCTTTCATTCTCCATCAATTGCTTTAATAAGGAATTGAAAAGGCTGGCCTACTTTATATGCAGATCACCATCCCAGTTGCATAAGGATTTACAATAGACAAAACAAAACTATTTTTGTTGTAAATAAGGGCTGTTTGTTTAAATCTCACAATCATGTTTGCAGCTAAAAATTATTTACAGGCTAATAATAAGGCTTCATAAATGTTTTATATACTTGGTTAACCAAATTCATTTTAATACTCTCCCCTGCCCCCATTCCGGGGGGAGAAAAAAAAGAAATGCTCTCTTCGGATGACAAGGTAAAATTCAAGTAAAACCTAAGGAAAGGTGAAAGAGAAATGATTCGCTTAATTTCTTGGTTTTCGTTCATTCTTCCCCTATATGGAGACGCAATAGCATTATCAGATAGCACCCCTTTTAAAGCTTCAATAAACTTGGGAGGACTTCATAAACTCAATGAGAAAACATTGCTTTCTATTTAAATATGATAACCCAAGAAGAATTCAGAAGTCTAAACGTTGGTGGGTAAGGGTATTGGAAGGTATGTTGACATTTGTCTCTGCTACCTTGGAATATGCAGAGAACTGGCTTGGGAAGTCTGGAGACCCAAGTTCGAATTTCACCTTTGAAGTCTTCCTTCAAGGTATTTAAATGGCTCATATGTCTTTATTAAATGAGGTGTGTGGCGGCCTCTACTGGTGTATGCTTATAGAAAATGTCTCAATAGGCAGAAAAAATATTAATTTCAATTAAAAAGTTAGAAATTCAGACTTTCATTAAATGTATAAAAATATCTAATTTAATGCAGAAAAAATATATTACAAGTTGTGTAATGTTCTCTTAATTAGGAAAATAATCTAAAAGCACTGAACATTACTGACCATGTTAGTGTTGGCAAGGTAATGATTTAGGGAAGGACCTTAATTGTTCAATTCTCTATGCTAGCATGTTCAATACCTTTTATTAATGAAATAGCAAGCCCAACCAAGGCAGCTGAGTGCCTCTGGTCTATCACTAAGTCTGCTTAGCTGACTTCAATGAATCACTTAAAACAAACCCAGAAGAAAAGAAATATTTTACAGTGAAATCTATAAAGTCTTAGAACTAGAATCATTTAATGAAGGGCTGGTTACCTATAAATCAAGCAAACTCTCCTTTGATTGAATGCAGCTGACATATAGATCTATTTTACATTTTTTTTACTTTCAAAAATACAACACATTAAAATAGGTTCAATTTATCAAAGCTAAAAGCAACATTTAAGTAATGTACTTAAAGTGCAAAGGCACTTTAACACAAGAGGTGACGCTCAGTGACTTTGCGTGGTAACTGAAAGAGAAATACTGGATATTATTATTTACAAAGGAAGTGACAGTCCCAAAAGATCTTTGGAGATCTTCAGCATAACACATTCAGCATCCACTTCTTTAAAAGATTTTTTTTTTGCCTAGCCCCTTCCAGACCTCCTAGAGTCTCCCATTCCCCATCTGTGCACTGAAACAACAGAACAGATTGGGGGGGAGAACAAGAAGTAAAGTGAAAAGGGAAAAAAAAGTCATTGGAGCAACATTCATTTTCAGTGGACAGTTACTAAGGATGACAAAAAAAAAACCCAACCAAAATAAAGTGGAAATAATTTAAAAGGAAAACTTTTCAGAGCAAGAAGCTTGCTTTCCCCCATCCCTCACTGATTTTTCAGTTTCCATATTATTCCTGGAAAAGAAAGACCTCCCCCCAACTTCATTGCCCCCACCCTACAAAAACCAAAAAGCCAATGCACTGAATGTGGCCATCCCCAGCTGTTTCTGTCTTCCTGAGGCAGCCTTCCTTGATGCTTTCGTTCTCTTTCCCTCTCTTCACAGCTGACTGATCGCGGTTTGTTTCTCCAGAACTTCGAGGTAGTCTGGTTCTGTTTGCTGCTTGGCCTGAAGTAAAGGATGTTCAGGTTTGGATTGGTCTGCAAAGTATTTCCTGGGAGTTCCGTATAAAACAGTTTTGTTCAGTCTGTCCTGATTTTGGCGTCGGGATTCATAGGAAGGTGTGAACTGCCGCTTAGGTAAGGTGCAAAAGTTATAGTGGACCACCCCTGCGCTGGGGAGCTCTTTCACTCTCTCTGCAATATTTTGATAGAGTAGCTCCGGCTCTCGTGGGGTGGACTGCTTTTCCAGTAATTCTGATGCACTGATGGTATAAGCCAGAGTGGCTGGCCCTTCCTTCTTGGTGTCCAGATTCCCATAGCTGAACTCTTGGAGGTTTCGGTAGTATGCCACTGGGTCACCTTCCTTCTGCATGTAAATAGGGTTTTGGCACATCTGGCCCACAGGAGGAGGAATATAGTTATAGACGTGGCCTTCAGTTTTGTCAGCAGTGTCAGCATTATAAGATCCATACTGCAGTTGGAAGGAACTGATGTCTAAGTTGTTGGTGCTACTGGGCCCACTGGGTACCCCTTTTCGCCGTTTGAGGACAAAGACAAATAAGCCTGCTCCAAAGCAGACAGATAAGATAAAGACCACAAGCAACCCTAAAATTAAGACAGAGAGTGGAACTTCTGTATGTAGCTCTGGGTATGAGCTGGGAGCCACACTAAGGGATCTTGGGGTGTCTGTGTTATGACTCATGGATAAGATAGTAGCATCTGATAAGTCAGGGTTGTCTGGACAGATAGTGTCTCTCCCTAAAAATTTCAAGATCTCACCTGCATGTTTGGCTGGAGATTCACAGGTAATCTCATTGATGATAACAGGGGAATTTGCATGCTCTGTCCAGTCTTTCAGTCCCATAATGTCACAGGTACAATCCCACGGGTTTTCTTGCAGATCAATCTGGATAAAAGCTGGGAGCTGGTCCAGGACCCCTTTCACTGGCAAATGGGAGAAATGGTTGTTCCTCAGGTTCAGTCTGGTGAGGGCAGTGCCACCAAACACATTATCTGGTAATGATCTCAGTAAGTTGTTATTCAGAAATAACAGCTGCAAGTTAATCAGTGTATCAAAGGTACAGGGCTTGATCTCTTTAATGATGTTATACTCAAGATAGAGATATTGTAAACTCTGCAGCCCCTCGAACATAGAAGGATAAAGAATTTCCAGATAGTTGCCATTCAGATAAAGTCTCCGTAAACTGGTTAGGTTTGTAAAAGCACCCTCCTGAATGACTGCTATCCGATTGTTTCCAAGATGCAACAAATCCAAAGAACTGTATTCTGCGAGGTCATTTTTGTAGACAGTTTGCAAATAGTTCCCTGTAAGATAAAGCTTCTTTGGACTGGTAGGTTTGGGGTGAAGGGCTGAGATATTGGTGAACTTCCTTTCTTGGCAGTTGACATTTAACCCATTGTCAGAACTCTGGGAGGTACAGATGCAGCTGCTAGGACAGGTGAGGGGGACCGGTGACTTGGTCTGGTACACCATGATAGGTCCAAAGCTCTGCCTATCTTTGGACACGGTGACCCTGGGCGTTGGTCTGTTTCTTGTCTTGGGGGGTCGGCTGGCTTTGGGGGCCCGGGTAGGAGTGAGAGCAGGATTAAGGGTAGGCGACAGCTTCTGCACGTGGGTGTCGGAAAAGGAAGGGTGGTTCACTTTATGATTTGAATCGCTGGCACTCTTCCTGGGACAGAGGTCTTGCCTGGTCAACTGTGTCACGTCTTTCCCATGCAGCCGAAAAGGAGTTTCACAGACAATCTCTCCAACAAAGACTGTTATGGTATCGAGCCAAGCCTTCAGAGGAAGTAAATCACAAGTGCAGTTCCAAGGGTTTTCCTCTAACTGAATTTCCATGATCCCTCCAATGTGTTCCAGGACTCCAGCAAAGGGCATCATCTTCAGTCGATTCCCTCTCAGATCTAAGTGGGTCAGCAGAACAAAGCGGAACACATTATTGGGGAGAGACAGAAGGAGATTGTCATTGAGAATCAGGACCTTGAGCTTATTCAGCTTACTGAAGGCGCCTGCCTCGATGGCACTGATGTAGTTGTAGTCTGCCTGCAGGTACTCCAAACTCTCCAGGCCCAGGAATGTGTCCTCCCTCAAAACTTCCAGTTTGTTGTTGTTCAGGTGGAGTCGCTTGAGAGTTTTCAGGCCATTGAATGCCCCAGTTCTGATCTCTTGCAGCTCATTGTTTCCCAAATGGAGAGTCACCGCGTTGGAGTAATTGACGAACTCATTAGGATAGAGTCTGGTCAGTAAGTTTCCATTGAGGAAAAGCTGGTAGATCCGATACTGGGGGGGCTGGAGCAAGCTCACGGTTGTAAAGCCTTTGTTTTCGCAATTAATATTCAGTACATTTTCCTTCTCCTCACACAAGCAGCGGATCTTACAAATGTCTTTGCCAGTTTTGCGGCTCTCCGTCTGGAGGATCCCGGCCACGGTTAATACACTGAGCAACCAAACACCGTTCAGCATCTTTATGCACAGTCGATCTGGTTCCGGCACCTACAGTTAAGCCTTTAAGAAGGGGGTTTGGAAGGGTAGGAGTAGGGCAAGATTGGGGAGTGGGGAGAGAGAAACAAGGAGCCCGATTAAAATGGCCAGGAAAAGGGGTGGGAGAGAAAGGGATGAGGTGGGGGGGGCGAAGGGAGACAACACGACAGACAGAAACAATTGCTTTGCGAAGCTGTTTCCTCGCCCTCCGCTCTGCCCGCCCGCCTGCCCGCCAACTCACCCTCCCCGAAACACACAGCCATGCACCTGATTCCCCTCGGGTCCCTGCTGCCAGCGGAGTCATTAGTAACCGAGTTGTCTTACTAAACCGAGCCGACCTCCTCCTCCTCCTCCTCCTCCTCCTCTTCCTCCGGGGGTGGGGGTGGGGGTGGGGGAAGCCGGGGAAGGGACCGCGGACAGCTCGTCTGTCTCGCAGCAGTAGCAGCAGCAGTAGAAATAGCTTTACTTCTCTCTTTCTCTAGCTCCCCTCTTGCGCAAGGGGGTGGGGAAGGGGAGGGATGGGAAGGAATGGGAAGGGAAGGGGGGGGGAGGACCAAATGGGAAGGACCGCGGAAGGGAAAGGGCTGCGGTACTCACACATCAGGAGAAGATGAGACTCCCCTCCTTTGCGGTGGCCCCGGAGTTTAGCATTTTGGGTGCAAATAGAGAAACCGTTGTGGGGGGAAAAGCAGCCTGGAGAAGACGCCGCTTCTTGCAGACGGAACGGTTCGCTTGACCGGGGGTGGGAAGGGGTGGAACTAGTGGGTTTGGGGTGATGATGGGCGGGGGAGGCGTCCTGGGGGTTTGGGGCTCTGGGATACAACCCAAAGTCCTGGAGGTGGGCAGGCAGGAGGGGGCGAGGCGAGCGGAGGGGGCGAGGCGAGCGGAGGAGCCGCGGGAAGTTTGGCCACCTGGCGCCCGGCTGGCTGTGCGTGTGCGCTGGGCGCGGGCGGACGGCGGGGTGCGGGGCGCCGTGGGCTGCTGACTCCGCCGGCCGGCTGCTGGGGTTGCGGTGGTGGCGGCTCGGTTCCCTTCCCCCGGCTGGCGGTGGCTGCTGTCTGGGCGCCGTTCAGTTTGAATTTGAGAGGCTTTTGCAGGCTCCCTCGGACCTAGCTGGGGGTGACGTCACGCCCGGGAATGGGGCTGCTGGGGGTAGGGGGGGGAGGCAGATAGGGGGAGAGGATCGAGGCGGGGGGGTGGGGAGGCAGTTTGTTCACGGGGCCGCGGTGAGACTCGGGGAAGCCCGTTAGCGCTGTTCCTCTTCCTCGCAAGTGGCTTGGCAAAGGCGCTCGACATTCACTCTGTGCGTCTATTTATCTTGAACTCCTCCACCTCCGAGCAGACGACGCGCAACTCCTTGTGTGGGGGTGTCCAGAAGGGAAAATGCGAAAAGCGGAGCCGGCTAGGTTCCCCCGCACCTCTCCCTCGGCCCCTCCTCGCCTCTGCTTCTTCCACCCACCAGTCAGCACCTCCACACCAGAGCTGAGGTCTGGGGGAGTGGCTTGGTCATTCCTAGGATGTCTCCTCCCAGATTCCCAAGGCAGAAGTCAAATGGGGGGGGGTGTAGATAGAGGGAGGGGATGGAGGGAGAAGTCTCGGGGGAGTGTTTGAGAGGTAATGTTGGTGCTGCTAGATGTGCATGTATGTGTCTGTGTATGTCTCTGCGTGTGTGTGTGTGTGTGTGTGTGTGTTGTGTGTATGTGAGTGTGAGAGAGAGAGAGAGAGAGAGAGAGAGAGAGAGAGAGAGAGAGAGAGAGCGAGCGAGCGAGAGCGCAGAGTTCCAAGGGCTTTTGTGTTGTATACCCAGAGCTGGGTTTCAGAGCTAAAAGGATCCCTTCCAGGGTGGTGGCTGGAGGTTTTTTTTCCCCTCTGCAGATTGAAAGCAACCTCTGAAAGCCGCAGCTCAGTCTTTGGAAGGGGTCGAGCTGGGGGGTGGAGGGAGGTGGGGGAGAGTGATTTCCCTAAAGTTTAAGATCCGTCAAAACATGACGCTTAACCTGATTCTCTTTGTGGGAAAGGAGCAGAATAAGTAGGTGTCAGAAAAAAGTCGCTGCCACAGTAGGGAGCAAACAAAACCTACTGTGTTGTGTTTACAATTAGGTAGAACCACTTGCTAGGCTAGACTAGGGGGAGGGAGCCAGAACGAAAAAGAAAGGGCAATGCATGGGGGTGGGAAGAAGGGCAGAGGGATGGAGGGGGAGCCTCTTAGTCAAACTGGGCTGGGGCCCTGGGAATTCAGTTCCCTCTGTTTCTGATTCCTAAGCAAAGGGCCAGACCCGTGCAGGAAGCTCCAGGTCTGGCTTCTGGGCACAAGGCTTGAACTCTGTGTTGGGGACGAGGAGGGAGAAGGCAGCCAGGGCCTGAGGTGGGCTCAGCTTCAGAAGCCCAGAAAAATGAACAAGCCCCGGGGAGGAGAGGCAGGGCAAGGAGGGATGTTAGCTTTGGCTCGGCTCAAGCTTGCTAGCTTGCTTTCCTTCTCACCCCCTCCACCTCATCCCCAATGTAGCAGGTTTGCTTCACTAGCTCCCCAGCATCTAGAGCCAGTGCACACTGCAGGAAGAAGCTAATCCCTGGCTGGGGTAGGAGTGGGGTTCATGCATGGCTGGCGGCTGACCCTCCCCCCCCCAAGCTGAAACCTGGCTGTTCTGTGTGGGAAGAGAAAGGCACTGGAAGGCTAGCCCTGGGGACAGATAGGTCCCAGTGCCTCCTCCCTCTCTCTCTTTACAACCTTCTGAACTTACCCAAATTTTTAGGCTTTGTAGCCTTTTCCACAACGTTAACCTGGGAGCTAATTTTAATAGTTTTGGCACTGGGGGTGGGGTGGGGTGGAGTGGATAACCTGTGGCAGTCAAGACAACTATGGATGGTTTCTTTTTTGCCTCTTCCTCTTCCCCCTTCCCTTCTTCCTTCCTTTTCTTTCTCTTACACCCCCCCCCACACACACTTTCTTTCTGCCTAGACCTTAAAGCCTGTCTTCCACCCAGCTCAGCACCCACACAATTTGGTACTGATCACTGTTGAGTGCAAAGGAGATGCTAGGCTCTTTCCATGGAAGTAAAGGGGTTGGGAAAATCCTGGAGGCAGCAGGGTGAGCAGGGTAGGGGCTGCCGATTGGGGTGATCTTAGCTGCTCCCCTCTCATTACTCTCCATGCTCAGTGCCGATCATTCCTTCTCACTGCAGCTACGGAGCTGTTCAATCCTTGGAAATCAGGGCAGCTCGAGGTCCCGGGGAAGGGGCTGGTAGTCAGATCCCTGGGTACTGCTCTCTACCTGGCTCACTGCAGGGATTTGTATGAGCAGAAATAGCCAAGTGAGTTCCCTTTAGTAGAAAGGAAACTGAGGGTGGCTTGAGGAAGGACGCTTGCCCTAAACATTTTTTTTTGAGGTGGGGAGGCATGGCAGCGGGTAGGGGAGAGAAGAGGAATGTAGATAACAGTTGGAGTTTGTAGATTTGACTGTAGCAGTGTGTATGGACAGCATGCCATGCATATATTGATTTCAGATGGGTGGCTGAAGAGATGCTTGCGCCAATTAGGGGTGCCAGAACCTGTCTGCAATTATTTAGTCAAATGCAAATATAATAAACCATGAGAGGCCGAAGAATGCACTGGATAGGAAGGGGTCTTGGAGTACAGAAGACTGGGGTTCAAAGACTGTGTCACTGCCTCAGACACATACTAGCTGGGAGGCCATGGGCAAGTTAATAGCTTCTCAGTGCCCCTATTATAAATTGCAAAAGAGCTGGTGATCTATACCAGTGGAGGGACTTTTCACATTGGAAGTCCTCCACACTGATGAAATGACAAGGCTAAACCTAAATCAATAAGCAAATAAAAAGAATTTTAGAAGAGATTCTTATTCTATTACTTTCACTGGATTGAAAAAATAAGTAGTCCTAAATATGTTCTAAGTTCAAAGATGACACTACTGACACAATTTATTCATTAAAACAATAGAGCATGAGGAGGGGAGAAAGCATTACTTTTCCTTTAAAAACAACCACTACCACCTTTTTTCTCACTCGTCTTTTTTTCCATATGAATAACCTATGAGGCCCAAGTTCCATAATGGTTTTCAATAATAATAATAACAATAATAATAATAATAACTGACATGGTCAAGGGAGCTTGGCTTAGCAGCTAGAGTCTGCCTCTGAGTCAAGAAGAGCAGGGTTCAAGTCCAATGTCTCCAAGAGAATGGGGGTGTGCCCACTCCCCTCGCCATCTCCCACACAATCACTGGATCTCTTAGTGTTTGGGGGCCCTCTAAGACTATCTGAAGCTTCCTAGGAGCTGCTGCCATGTACTTTTTCATTCCCAGCTCTCCCAACAGGAATGAAATTCCAGGTTCTGTAAAATAACAGCAACCAACCACCTGGCAAGCACAGGGGACCTGGAAGTTCACCAAGTGCTTTTTGGCTTTAAGTATGCACCTTGAAACAACCCCTGTTGTACAAATGAGGAAATTTAGGCTAAGAGATTAAGTAACACGGCCAAGGCCATTAAATCAATCAAACCAATAATCATTTATTAAGTGCCTACTATGTGCCAGAAAAAGTCACAAAACTGGGATTTGAACCCAGGTCTCGATAACTTTATCCACGAGGCAAGTAAGGATGCAATTCCTACGAATGAATGAATGAAAAATTATTTGTTAAGCAAAATTAACTAAGAACTAAGTCTTTTTTTGCTGAATTGTAATTAATAACTGAACCCTTAAAATATGTTTTTTTTTTCAAAAGAGTGAATGTGGGAAGGAGCTTGGGGGCTAGGGGCAGAAAGGGCTGGACAAAGAGAAGGACAGACCATTTGAGGGCACAGACAGTTGGGATGATAGATTTTATGGGAAGATGTCTTCTCCTGAAGGTTGGTCAGCTTCCCCTGAGATGTATTTGACATCTTTCACAATGTTTTTCAGTTCTGTTCCTGAAGCTGCCACCGCAATTATACACGCATTAAAAAAAAACCCTTCAGCATAAAATAAAACCGCTATCTTAAGTAAGTTTCATTGCTATTGTTGCTGCTGGGCACCAATTTGAGAAAAAGAGAAAGAGAGGGAGAGGGAGACAGAGACAGAGACAGACAGAGAAAGACAGAGACAAAGAAGTTTTTAAAAGGAAAGAAAAGGATAAGGATGAAGTCACTGACTAAATGGAGGCTGAAATTATATATATATACATATATATACATATATGTATATATACATATGTATACATATATACATATATGTATATATACATATGTATACATATATACACATATATATACATATGCATACATACATATATACATACATATATACATACATATATACATACATATATACATACATATATACATACATATATATATATGTATATATATATATAATATATATATATATACATATATATATATATATATATATGTAAACCTCCGTTAACCAGAGCATAGAAGTTCACTCCCTCCATTTTGCTGAGCCCAGTAAAAACTAGGATCAGAACACGAAGTTTGGCAGAGACTAAATGAATGTCCAACCAGGTCAGGAGTGTGTTTCCCTACTCTTAAGTCTTCCAGTGTCTAGAACCCAATATAGATTTGGAGCCCAATGCAGATGGGGTCCAAATAGCCTTGTGATCTCCTGAGGCTGGATGACTCCAGAGTCAGGGCCCCTAAATACAGTGGCCGTGAAAAGGGATCCCTAGATCTACAACTGGAAGGGACCTCAGAAGCCATCTAATCCAACTCTTTCACTTTACAAATGAGTAAACTGAGGCACAGTGAGGTTAAATGACTTGTGTAAGGTTATACAATTAGTGAGCCTGGGTGGTGGGATTTCAATCAAAGTTCTCTGCCTCAGGAGACAGGGCTCTGGTCACTTGGCCTGTTCCTAAGGCCTCTGCAGAGGGGTGAAGGGTGGATGTGCATGGCCAGCGCTGGAGGTGGCCTGTGGGGATTCCTGGAGGATCAGGAGGAGTCTTATCCAGGTATATTGCAGGCAGAAGATAGAACCACCTGTCCCAGCCTCTCTTATGTGAAATACAGCTTCCTTGCATCCAGCCCATGTTTCCTGGGAGGGCTAAAAGGAAGGATCAGAGGACTTAAAGCTGCTATGATTCTAATTCCCTCAGGGGCAGTATGGTAGAATTCATCTACAGCAGGACTTGAAGCCAAGAAAACCTGGGTTCAAGTCTTACTTCTGACATTTATTAGCTGCATGACCCAGGCCAAGTCACTTCTGAGACCCTATTGCCATAGCTCTGAAATGGGGATAATACCCATATAACCTACCTCACAAAGTTGTCAGGATGCTCAAAAGATAGTTCTGCAAAACTGTTCAGAAGAGGAAAGTAAAGTCTGGAGACATGTCCAAGGGCATACAGATAGAAAAAGGTGGAGCCAGGATTCAAATTCAGGACTTTCCTACTGTACCATTGCCTAGGAAAAGCTCAAAGTCATCATTTCTTATGAGGGCT